GGAAGGATTGGAGGGAAAGAAGGAAGGAGGGACGGATTGGAGGGAAAGAAGGAAGGAGGGAAGGATTGGAGGGAAAGAAGGAAGGAGGGAAGGAAGGAAGGAAGGAGGGAGGGAAAGAAGGAATGAGGCAAGGATTGGAAAGAAGGAGGGAAGGAAGGATTGGTGGGAAGGATTGAAAGGGGGAGGGAAGGAGGGAACGAATATAAGAAAAAGGAGGGAAGGAAAGAAGAACGAAGGATTGGAAGGAAGGAGGGAAAGATTGGAAAGAAGGAAGGAGATGAGGGAAGAATTGGAAGGAAGGAGGAAAGGATGGGAAGGATTGGAGGGAAGGAAGAAGGGAAGGATGGGAGGAAAGGAAGGAGGGAGGAAAGGAGGGATTGGAAGGAAGAAGGGAAGGATTGGAAGGAAGGAAGGAGAGGAGGGAAGTATTGGAAACAAGGAAGGTTTGGTGGGAAAGATGGGAGGGAAGGAGGGAACGAATATAAGAAAAAGGGAAGGAAAGAAGAACAAAGGATTGGAAGGAGAGGAATCAGGGAAGGAAGGATTGGAGGGAAGGATTGGAAAGAAGGACGTAGGGAAGGAAGGATTGGTAAGAAGGAGGAGAGGAGGGAAGGATTGGAAAGGAGAGGAAGGAAAGATTGAAAGGAAGGAGGGAGGGAAGGATTGGAAGAAAGGAAGGAGGGAAGGAAAGATTGGAAAGGAGGGAGGGAAGGAGAGGAAGGAAGGATTGGAATGGGGAAGAATTGGAGGGAAGGAAAGAACGAAGGATTTGAAAGAGGGAAGGAATCAGGGAAGGAAGGAAGGATTGGAAAGAAGGAAGGAGATGAGGGAAGAATTGGAGGGAAGGAGGGAAGGATTGGAGGGAAAGAAAGAAGGAGGGAAGGAAGTAAAGATTGGAAACAAGGAAGGATTGGAGGGAAGGAAGGAAGGAGGGAAGGGTTGGAAAGAAGGGAGGAAGGATTGGAGAGAAGGAACGGAAGGATTGGAAAGAAGGAGAGGAGGGAAAGATTGGAAAGGAAGGAAGGATTGGAGGAAAGGAAGAAGGGAAGGATTGGAGGGAAGGAAAGATTGGAAAGGAGGAGAGGAAGGATTGGAGGGAAGGATTGGAGGTAAGGAAGAAGGGAAGGATTGGAAAGAAGGAAGGAGGAAAGGATGGGAAGGATTGGAGGGAAGGAAGAAGGGAAGGATTGGAAAGAAGGAAGGAGGGAAGGATTGGAAAGAAGGAAGGAGGAAAGGATGGGAAGGATTGGAGGGAAGGAAGAAGGGAAGGATTGGAGGGAAGGATTGGAAAGAAGGAAGGAAGAGAGGAGGGAAGGATTGGAAAGAAGGAGAGGAAGGAAAGATTGAAAGGAAGGAGGGAGGGAAGGATTGGAAAGAAGCAATAGAAGGATTGGACGGAAGGGAAGGATTGGAAGAAAGGAAGGAGGGAAGGAAGGATTGGAAAGGAGGGAGGAAAGGATTGGGAAGAAGGAGAGGAAGGAAGGATTGGAGGGAAGGAAAGAACGAAGGATTGGAAAGAGGGAAGGAATCAGGGAAGGAAGGATTGGTGGGAAGGATTGGAAAGAAGGAAGGAGATGAGGGAAGAATTGGAGGGAAGGAAGGAAAGGTTGGAAATAAGGAAGGATTGGAGGGAAGGGTTGGAAAGAAGGGGGGTTAGGAAGGAGGGAAGGATTGAAGGAAAGGAAGGAGGGAGGAAGGATTGGAGAGAAGGAAGGAAGGATTGGAAAGAAGGAAGGATTGGAAAGAAGGAGAGGAGGGAAAGATTAGAAAGGAAGGAAGAAATGGAGGGAAGGAAGGAGGGAAGGATTGGAAAGAAGGATAGGAGGGAAGGAAGGATTGGAAGGAAGGAGGGATTGAAAGGGGGAAGGGTTGATGGGAAGGGAGGAAGGAGGGAAGGAAGAAGGGAAGGAAGGATTGGAGAGAAGGATTGGAAGGAAGGAGGGATTGATAGGAAGGAAGGAGGGATTGAAAGGAGGAAGGATTGGAGGGAAGGATTGATAGGAAGGAGGGAAGGATTGGAAGGAAGGAAGGAAAGAGGGAAGGAAGGAAGGATTGATTGGAGGGAGGGAAGGATTGGAAGGAAGGAAGGAAAGAGGGAAGGAAGGAAGGATTGATTGGATGGAGGGAAGGGAGGAAGGAAGGAAGGAGGGATTGAAAGGGGGAAGGATTGGAGGGAAGGAAGGAGGGAAGGAAGGAAGGATTGATTGGATGGAGGGAAGGATTGGAAGGAAGGAAAGAGGGAAGGAAGGAAGGATTGATTGGATGGAGGGAAGGATTGGAAGGAAGGAAGGAAGGATTGATTGGATGGAGGAAAGGGAGGAAGGAAGGAAGGAGGGATTGAAAGGGGGAAGGATTGGAAGGAAGGATTGGAAGGAAGGAAGGAGGGAAGGAAGGAAGGAAGGAGGGAGGGAAGGAAGGAAGGAAGGAAGAAAGGAAGGAGGGAAGGAAGGAAGGAGGGAGGGCACACTCACCTTGGGCAAGGCCACGTGCCCTGGAATTGCAGAGGACAGGCAGCATGGAAGGTTCTAGAAAGAAAACAGGAGGTTAGGTCTTGGGCCTGGCGTGCGCACTGGGGTGAGCGTTGGCCTCTGGGAGTTTGCTGGGGGCGGGGACGGGAGTGGGGCTGGTGTCACTGGGTGGGGACCGTTATGGCTACTGGTGTTACTGGTGTCATTGGTGGTGTTACTGGTGGTATTGGTATTGGTGTTATTGGTATTGGTGTTATTGTTATTGTTATTGGTATTGGTGGTATTGGTATTGGTGTTATTGGTATTGGCATTGGTATTATTGGTATTGTTACTGGTGGTATTGGTATTGGTGTTATTGATATTGTTATTGGTGTTATTGGTATTGGTGTTATTGGTATTGGTGTTATTGGTATTGGTGTTATTGTTATTGTTATTGGTATTGGTGGTATTGGTATTGGTATTGGTGTTATTGGTATTGGTGTTATTGGTATTGGTGTTATTGGTATTGGTGTTATTGGTATTGCTGTTATTGGTATTGGTGTTATTGGTATTGGTATTGGTATTAGTGGTATTGGTATTGGTATTGGTGTTATTGGTATTGGTATTATTGGTATTGTTACTGGTGGTATTGGTATTGGTGTTATTGATATTGGTGTTATTGGTATTGGTATTGGTGTTATTGGTATTGGTGTTATTGGTATTGGTATTGGTATTGGTGGTATTGGTATTGGTGTCATTGGTATTGGTATTGGTGTTATTGGTATTGGTATTGGTATTATTGGTATTGTTACTGGTGGTATTGGTATTGGTGTTATTGATATTGTTATTGGTGTTATTGGTATTGGTATTGGTGTTATTGGTATTGGTATTATTGGTATTGGTATTGGTGTTATTGGTATTGTATTGGTATTGGTGTTATTGGTATTGGTATTGGTGTTATTAGTATTGTTACTGGTGTCATTGGTATTGTTACTGGTGTTATTGGTATTGGTGTTATTGGTATTGGTGTTATTGATATTGGTATTGGTGTCATTGGTATTGTTACTGGTGTTATTGGTGTTGTTACTGGTGTTATTGGTGTTGTTATTGGTATTGGTGGTGTTGGTGTTATTGGTTTTGTAATGGGTGCTATTGATATTGGTATGGGTATTGGTGTTATTGGTATTGTTATTGGTGTTATTGGTATTGGTGTTATTGGTATTGGTGTTATTGGTATTGGTATTGGTGTTATTGGTATTGGTGTTATTGCTATTGGTATTGGTGTTATTGCTATTGGTATTGGTGTTATTGGTATTGGGGTTGTTATTGGCGTTATTGGTATTGTTATTGGTGTTATTGATATTGGTAGTGGTGTTATTGGTATTGGTGTTATTGGTGTGGTTATTGGTGTTATTGATATTGGTATTGGTGTTTTCGGTATTGCTATTGGTATTATTGGTATTGGTTATTGGTGTTATTGGTGTTATTGGTATTGGTGTTATTGGTATTGGTCATTGGTGTTATTGGTATTGTTATTGCTGTTATTGTTATTGGTGTTATTGGTATTGGTGTTATTGGTATTGGTGTTATTGGTATTGGTATTGGTGTTATTGGTATTGGTGTTATTGGTATTGGTATTGGTGTTATTGGTATTGGTATTGGTGTTATTGGTATTGGTATTGGTGTTATTGGTATTGGTGTTATTGGTATTGGTATTGGTGTTATTGGTATTGGTATTGGTGTTATTGGTATTGGTATTGGTGTTATTGGTATTGGTGTTATTGGTATTGGTATTGGTGTTATTGGTATTGGTGTTATTGGTATTGGTATTGGTGTTATTGGTATTGGTGTTATTGGTATTGGTATTGGTGTTATTAGTATTGGTGATTGGTGTTATTGGTGTTATTGGTATTGGAGTTATTGGTATGGTGATTGGTGTTTTTGGTGTGGTTCTTGTTACTGGGATTACCATGGTTGTTTGTGCTCTTATTGTGACTATTGTGGTTGTTATTCTTGTTACTGTTATTCTTGTCATTGTTGCCATTATGGTTGTGTTACTAATATTGATGTTACTGTTGTTGTTTGTGTTGTTGTTACTGTTATTGTTGTTGTTTCTATTGTTATTGTTTGTGTTGTTGCTGTTATTGTTATTATTGTTGTTGTTTCTATTGTTATTGTTTGTGTTGTTACTGTTATTCTTGTTCTTGTTACTGTTATTGCTCTTAGGGTTACTATTATAACTGTTGTTGTTTGTGTTGTTATTGATACTATTATTGTTGTTGTTATTGTTTGCATTATTATTGTTGTTGTTTGCATTATTATTGTTTGCATTATTATTGTTGTTGTTGTTATTGTTTGCATTATTGTTGTTGTTGTTGTTGTTGTTTGCATTATTACTGTTGTTGTTGTTGTTTGCATTATTATTGTTGCTGTTGTTGTTATTGTTTGCATTATTATTGTTGTTGTTGTTGTTTGCATTATTATTACTGTTGTTGTAGTGGTTGTTGTAACTCGTGGCCTGAGCTGGCATCTCACCCAGGGCCCCTCTTCCAG